CATCAGAATTATCCTTAATTCATTCATTTTTTTATGAAATAATTTGTTCTAGTGGTTTGTACACTTTTGGAAAAATATGATTTTTTACAGTTCTCAATACGTTTTAAAACCATTGATTTATCTTGCATATTTATTACGGTTTATTACAACAGAAGTACGCACTTGATGAATAGGAATAAACACTACCGAAATTAACAACTTCGCGTAGAAAAAGAACGGCTCTCCACATTTTTAATACAAACTTGTCTACACGAAAAGAAACCAAAATGGTGAAACTGAGTTAAAAAGAAAAATTATAATTTGTGCGTATTGTAAACCCGGTATGGCATTCCTCAAAGTCAAGATACAACTGAGTGAACACTCATGAACATTAGTAATTCGTTAATACTCAAAAAATCTCAGAAAATCGTTATAAGCAAATCAAAGAACCTCTTTTCACTTCAGAATAGGAGATTGGGGATATGCCCCTCCATTCATGCTAATAAATTACATTCCGACACGAGAATTCGTCCACACAACCCCAGGGTACTCAATATTCCTCAGGATAATTCGATCCAATAAATAAAATATATTACACGCAAGAAAGTACAAAGCTTTATACACAAATATCTATAACTGATGATTAAATTCTCATTGGGAATATGTACAGAAAACAAACGACACTAATAAGATTGGCCAGAGATTATACGGCATAAATTGCGGAATAAGCCTCAGGATGGCGTATTTTTTATATATATACCACAACAGTTTGATCCCGGTCACATATGGAGCTTTATTAAAACGGACTAAAACGTGATTCTCTATGGCTCTCGCTAGAAGAGAAGAAAACCTGTGTTATCAGCAAATGCATGAAAGGGATGGGCAGTAGTGAAGAGGGTATAGAGGAGTGGTGCCAGTATACAAACTTGAGAATCAGCTTTTGGTAGTATAAATAGCAAATATAGAAGAACCTTAAGCTACATGAAAGTGACGGAGAAGTAAGATTTGGTTAGAAGGTGATAGGTAGAAGAAAGTATACTTTTCAGTTTACACGACAGAAGTGTCATAGACGTTCAAATGATGACCAGGTCGACACCCGAACTGAATTGATTCAACTGGGCGTTAGCAGTTGTGTTTACAATATGTCGAGTGATAGTGACTGGTGGTCAAGAATAAGGATGAACATGGTTTGTGCTGTGATAAGGAGAAAATTCTCGAGCCTTTTTCCAATGATGGTATTCAAACTGATGGGACGGTAGAAAAGTGATAATGAGGTAATAGGGGGAAGGCTTATTTTAACTTTCTACACCAGGTCTAAGTGTAATATCCCGCATCAGCAATGTCAAGAAATACAGAAGGTCAGTTGCTGAAAAACCTTAAAAAAAGAACAGGTTTTCTTTAGTTTGGAAACAGTCCAATTTAATTTGATATGACCATCTTGTCTTCATCAATTTGAACTGTTCCCAAACCAAATTATACTTTTTCTAATCTAAATTTCACTTTTTCTTGAAAAAAAGTTCAGCCTATGTCCTCTATTACAAATATGCCATTTTATGTTGAACTAAAAAAGTTTACCAATACAATATGTGATATATTTGTTCGTATTGACTATGTTAGACTGATGAACTTATCAAGGATTTTTGCTAGTCAAAAACATTAGACAAAACAGATTCGTATTCAGATTTAACCTAAAGCCGGGAACACACCCGATGCAACGCTATGCGACGCTACCCGATGCTAACCGACGCCTTGACACGTTTGGTAGGGTGTGCACATCTATGCGACGTTAGGCGCATGCCATGTGCAGTCACACAGCGTGTATCACAAATCAGTATCATAATCGCAACGTCTGTTTTGTTCTTAATGCACTACATTGAGCAACACCATGTAATAAATTGTTATTTAAATTTTATGAGCACAACCATGTAATACATTGTTAGAACTAAAGTTATTCCGGTGTTTTGATAAATTTTCTGCCTAACCGTCATAATTAAATAATTTTTATAAAAACCCACGAATTTTTGGTCTCGTTTACTTTCGTTTGTATTAAAATAAGAATGTTGTAATTAATATAACGACAAAATTACATATACATAGTTAGAAATAAACTACAAAAAATATGAGTGTCCTGTTCTGACGCTACTCGAAGAAAATGGTGTGATTGAGTGTATGAGCAAAACCATGAAATAAATTGTTAGTTAGATTTTATGAGCAAAACCGTGTAACGATTGGTTTGTTAAATTCATTATATCAAAAAATGGTATTCCGGTGTTTTGATCAATTTTCTACTAATCAACGCACATTTCTACCAAACCATTAAAAAAAATTTTTTAAATAAAAACTAATGAATTTTTGATCTCGGTTAATTTGGCTTGTATTAAAATAAATTTGTTGTAATTAATATAACATAATACATGTAGTTCGAATGAAAATATGAGTGTCCGGTTCTTTTGTTTTCGACTGTATTCGATGCTACCCGACGAAAATCTGGACAGTGGCGATCGCTGTGCGTAGTGTAGGGTAGCGTAGCATAGCATCGGGCTGCACGGGGCAATACAACCTTATGGAACATTGGATTTGCGTCGTGTAGCATCGGTAGCGTCGCATGGCGTTGCATCCGGTAAGTGTGTTCCCGGCTTAACACTTTTTCCTAGCCCCGTTAGACCTACAGTATTTACTAAACAGTTCATTGCGAAAGTTTTTATTATTTATTTTTGTACACTATTTGTGCTTGTCCAGATGTTACATTAATAATGTGGGGTTTTATTTAAACCCCACATTATTTCTGTACTCGTTTTCCTGCAGATGCATTTCGTGCCATGCTGCGGTGGTAATTATAGTAAAAAAATATATTTTGCTTACCTCTTGTGTATGGTTGGCTGAAAAAGTGATTTGTTTTTTTCTGATTTCCAGCTGGAAATTATGACCTTGGAAAAAGTCCTTGCAATCAGAACATTCTAGAGAATTTCCGTTATAAAGATAATTATTATTACGCGCTTACCTGTTCGTGAATTTAGTAATAATTTCAAGACCGCTTAACAACTTTGGTCTTTGAAGCAATTAACATGGTCGAAACGGTCTCTCAAACCATAACCGTGCATAGTGCGTTTGAGCGGTTCGACCAAGGCAGGTGGACTGTGGCGAGAGGCTAACTTTCTGCCAACTTGGCACCGGCGGAGAGGCAGAGTTTCCCCCTTTGATAAGTTAATCTTACAGCGTTGTATTACAGGCAATGTTCAATTTCTGAACACAGCTTCAAACTGCCCGACCATTGTTTTTGGAATTTGTTCGACATGACTGCATTATTCTGCTAATGCTTCATGTTTATAACGATAAAATTTGCAAACGTCCTCTTTTTAGAATGTTCAGGTTTTTAGACAAATTGGAAAAAAATAAATATTGTATATTTTAACAATTTACCCTCTAATATTTTATAATATAATGCAAAGTGTTACATTTACAAATTAATTACAGTAAAAATTAGCAGGCGGTTTTCTTTATTGTGATTTCATATAACATTTTTATATACATATTATCTCATTATGATGTTTTTATTTTAACAAAGTGATAATGAGGTATAATTTCATTACATTATTTAGACATCAAATATATCACTTAATTTGATACCAACAATATGATTGACAATGTATTTGCTTTTTACGTATACAGTTACGCTGTATATGCATGTTTTTCAAATTAAATTCACTCCATTGTACCTATTTATACAAATGTATTACATTTAAAAACATCAAATTATGTTAATTCGTTAGTAAGAAATTATTACGTACGATCGTGTAGAAATCGTTTAAAAAATGATCAAAAATCGCATGTATCCACATCACGTTCTAAACGATGGATGTAGTCAATTTACTAAATATTTTGTCTACACATTTTAAACCCAGAGGAAAATAAACAGAATTTTTAATAGTATAAGCTCTATTTTTAAACGTTACAATGGTAATTACTGTTTTCCTTTAATTTATGGAAAAAGTTTGTAAATGAAATTTTTGTTTTTAAGTTGTAGCCTACATTTTGATTTGTGAAATTGATAAATCCATTTGATTTTGTAAAATTGATCAAAATCTTTTGAAAAAACGCGACTATAGAAACACTCATTACTTTTTAATTTCTACTCATTAATTCGAAATAGATTTCTTACGAACTAGTTAACATTATTTGATATTTTGAAAATATAATGCAAATGTAGGAATACTTGATTTTCAAAACGGAAAATGTAATTTACAAAAGTTAGAATTTGATTATCCAACAAGTGCAATTGATTTGCAAAAGTGTACATTTAATTTGAAATAGACTGAATTTAATATACTAAAGTGTAAATTTGATTTGCAAAACGGTGAATGTAATTTACAAAAGTTAGAATTTGATTATCAAAAGAGTCATCTTGATTTGCAAAACAATGAATTTAATATATAAGATGTAAATTTGAATTGCTAAAGTTGAGTTTGATTTTCGAAACGGTAAATTTGATGTGCAGAAAGGCGAATTTAAATTTGCAAATGTAAATATTTGAATTGACAAAAAGTGAATTTAATTTAGAAATAGATCAATTTGATTTGCAAAAGGGTAAATTTAATTTCTTTAAAGGTGATTTTGGTTTCCGAAATGATGAATTTAATTAGCAAAAGAGTAATTTGATTTTCAAATTAATGAATTTATTTCAGAAAAAGGTAAAATTTATTTGTAAAAGGGCAAATTTAATTTGATGAACCTGTAACTATACATGGCACGTTAGGCATTGAAATACATTTTTTAAATCATTACGTACGAAAAAAATAACTTGTGACTATGCTACAAATGCCCTGAAAGATCTCTTGGTTGGGTGTTTTTGGTTACTACGAAGAATCTCACTTATACCATATGCATAAAATCAAGCATGTGAGGCGTTGTGTGGTTTGGATTTCTAAAATAAACAACATTAGTAATTTTTTCGATAATTTAATATCAACATTACTTTTTACAATGTATTTGACTTTTTACAAATACAGTTACCATATATAATAGTTTATATAATAGTACAAAACATTATTAGGCTCTGTAATTTATATTCCAATTTATTACAGACAAGGAAAATAAGTTAACCTATTTTTTTAAATAAAAATTTACAAAGATTGGGGTATGTTTTTACCGCAAATATGCTGGCAGACATTAAAAATATACTAAAAACGCGCTGAGCCCTTGGCCAGTTGTTTTTGGTTTCTGCCCCTGCAGATATCCTCTTTTGGGGTTGAAGATATCAGCGATGATCTTCCAGCCGGATTTCGGTGCCGCCTGGACTGGCTTCTTCTGCAAAATGAACACGACGTAGAAAAAAAAAAAACTTTTAACCTGGTGCTAACGCCGGATTAAGATTAAATGGGATTTGGCTTGGAGGAAAGCTTACAGTGAGTGCCCTGACAACATTGGGCTGGCATATTGACTTTTTCGCCCTGGATTTTAATTAAACCAAGTTATGGAAACGACTTGTAAAGGAATTAATTAAAAAATCCTCGAGGAATCCATTTGATATTTGATTTCAGAATAAGATCAAATACATACAATACATGAAATTAATTATAAAGCAAATATACTTTGTATTTTGTAAATAGTTTTTATTATGATCAGTTTAGCATTTTACATAAATATTTAAAGCTATAAAACACCTATTTACTTATGCCGTATCTACTTTGTTTTTATGTTTAAATACCTTTGCGAGAGTGAGTTCGTCCACTTCTGTCCTGTAATAAGGAGGCAATGTCTACGCAGAAGGGAACACAGAAATTAGTCTGAATATGGATAAATTTACTTAATAAATAAAGTGATACAATAGTGAATACCATAGTGCAATAGGTCGGTGATCTTCTTGTGGGCCTTTTACTAGTCATAGCTACTGTCGTAGTTTCTGTCGTAACTGTGCTAGTTGTGCTATCGGGTAAGAACTGGCCCGGGGCCAAATTATGGCTGTATTTGATGGTGCTCGGCACAAAATGGAACGTCTGTAATTTATAAAAAAAAATATCAATCCTGCGAATATTCCCGTTTTAAATAAATTTTCCACAAAAAAAGCGTACATTCTCAAAAGCGAAAGCAAGCGTTAGTTCAGACACCAATGAACAAATCATGAAAATTAAAATTTTCTCTTCAGTTTACATTAGTTGCACCTTTTACCTGCTTGAAAGACTCATGGATGAATTTGTAACTAAAAAAAAGATTCGTCGAAGGGTGTTAATGGAAACTACAAAACTACAAAAATAAATACCTTTATTAAAAATATATATACGCACAATTTACTATTAATTACAGTTAAATATTGCTCTAATAAACTATTTTCTACCATATAAAAACTACCATGCCGCGTATTTTTTATTTTACGTACAAACACTCGACTGCGGTGCTTTCCACGCTTTGAGGATTTGTTCTGAAAAAAGGTTCATGTTTTAAATGTTCAATCAATTGTTTCTTTTGTACAATCGATTTAATTGTTTATTCTTTTCAGTTACATTAAAATATAAGGTAAATACCTTTTCACCCTTATCTCTTTTCTTATTCCAAGGCTGAAACATATCTTTTAGATTTTCTACACAAGAAAATATCCAATTTATCATACTTACAAAGTTTAATTGAAAAATTTGAGGCTTAATCAAAGGTTTTTTAGTTGCCTATTATAAAAATAAAACAAAAACGTTTGATTATTTTTGCTGAAGTTATTCTAAGATCGTTTAGTTTTGAATTATCCATAAACTGTTCTACTTTATTACTGATTCATTTTAATTACGTTAAAATGTAAGGAAAACACATGTTGCGAAGCTTTATATATCTTTTTATTCCGAGGCTAGAACGAAAACAAAAATCTTTTATATTATTAACATTAAAATTATAATTTTTTAAATACTTACGAAGTATATTGAATAAATATGAGATTTTGTCCAATTTTGTTTCGATGCCTGCTGAAAATAGCATAAATGAACGGTTAATTATTTTGATTACTGTTTATTATAGTAAAATTTAAAGATTCAATTATTTATATCAAGTGTATTATTGTAAGACTTACAATAGCTTCAATCCATTTATTATACGATGTCTTATCAAATTTCTAAAAAAAAAATACACATAAAAGTAATCTTATATTTAATTGTGTTTCAGTCCAATGAGAATTACAGACTTTTAAACAAATAAAAACAGACGAATCGTTGTTTTTATGTCTCACTCCTTGCCATACTTCGCACTGAAATCGCGAACAAAAAGAAAATTAAAATTTATCTTTTATAAGTGCAGGATCATATTTTTTTTATAGGTTTCTTATAAGAAAAGTTACGTTTTCGTTTTCCGTCGTAGAATTATAAACAGTCTGCCCTTCTAGTGCTTGTTTCATGTTGTAAAGCTAGGGGAAATGACACGTTTAAAAAACAATGAAAACAAACGTTATGTATTTTTATTTGTTTTACATGCTCCTGCACGATACGATCGTATATGCTTGTCACGGATGATTCCGAGGTGGCTAGCTAAAAACAGTTTCAACGGGTTTGTTCTAATTGTATGAAACTATTTTAATTTTAATTTTCAACGTACGTGTTTTTCCAAAAATTGCGTGTGCATAATCGGAGCGCTTGTCGGCTGGAAAACAGAATAATCATTTTCTTTTAGCCTATTGACAATAAGAGAATATTTACATGCTTATGGATCGAGAAAAAAGTTGGTATGGTAGACAATTCTGTCGTAACCTAGAAGAAAACGAAATATTATAAATTTTAAGTGTAAAATGCGTTTATTTTCAGCATACGTACAGAGTCTTCCTGGTTCGTGCTATATCGAGTAGTTTGTGTTGTTTGCTAAAATCAAAAATTTAAATAATAAATTAAAATTTTTATGTCATTCATTAATTAGAGTAATTTTTTTAATCAAAACCCAAGTTGCTGTAAGGATTAGGGTTTGATGGAATATGCTTGGTGGGTTATGCAGTTCAAAATATTATTACATAATTTTAGAAATGTAATTAAACAAATTCTATTTTTTACTGTGGTGATTGATTGACGTGTAGTTTAAAAAAGTTATACATTTATTGAATCGTTTTTGCAACAAATTAGAATATCAGCAAATTTTGATTTTTATATACTTGCTCGTTTATAACTGCTTTTATTTTATTTTCAGCACAGGTGCTTCAATGGAATTTAAAGAATGACATTTTATCAATTGTTTCCCGTACATATCGAATTAAATTAAAAATTTGAAATATTCGTCGAAATTATTATTATAAAATTAAAACATACATTTTAATCAATTAATTATTGTTTCTAAGGTCTTGGTTGAGATATAAAAGTCAGTGTCACGAGCGGGATTCGAACACACAACCTTCGGCTAAATACGCCGGTCCTCTACCACTTGAAAATTACAAAAAGAAGGGAAAATGTGAACGGTTGTGGGTTGAGATGGAGAGTTGGTGTCCGAGTGGATCGAAGTCTCGATAGCTCAAGTGTAGAGTAGCGGCATATTTAGCCGAAGGTCGTGGGTTCGAATCCCGCTCGTGACACTGACTTTTTTTATCTCAACCAAGATCTTGGAAACAATAATTAATTGTATAAATACTCAATTAATTATACACAATTTTTTTCGAAATGAAAAATTTGTGTCACAGGCGGGATTCGAACCCACGACTTTCGGCTATATTCGTTTCGAAAAAAATTGTATATAATGAATTGAGTATTTATATATTTAATAGAAGCTGATAAAATTTAGTAATAATTAATTGATTAAAAGAAGTAACTTAGTCGATTGACTACGGAAACGTAAATGGATTAATACATTTTAATATTGTCAATGCCACAACCCCCTCCCCTAAAAAAAGAGAAGTGTTTGTATCAAATTCACTTGTATGAATGTACACAAATAATTTTAACAATCTCATTTAATTTAGAATTTGAAGTGTTACGTTTAATCGGGATTCGTTTGAAATGCGAGAAGGCACAGGGCAAAGGAAACAACGCAAATCCGATGTTGCGGTTGATTTAGAGCTTTCGTTACTGAAACGCCACCACAATGAGAATATGTTCCGTATTTCGTGTTACATTCACGTCGTGTTACTGCCGCCAAAGGCGATATTTCTTTTTCTTTTTTTTAAAAGTTGAAATCTGGCAAAAGAAAAATAGCTTTAAAATGAACTATTGGATTCATAGACCATTATTAACTATGGCCGTTATGTAACGTCGATTTGTCAATTTTTCAAGCATTATGTCTTACTTAATTTAATTTATTAATTTTAAAATACAATTACGTTGAATTTTATTTTTTATATATTTTTTGTATTAAAGTTGGGTCTTTATTGTAGTTCTTTTTTTGTTTTATCTGTGTTTAGTATAGATATTTTGGCTAATTTTTCTGCTCTTGATGTTCGCTGTTGCTCTTTTTTATGTGTTTTGTTCAATTTTTCTTTCTCTTCGACCTTTTTTATTAAATAAATTTAACATCACCTTCGCATCGATTTGATATAATATATTCAATATAAATATTTTTTTTATCAGGGAATTGCAACAGCAAAGGTCATATAAACCCCGAGGTGCCCGTGTTTTTGAAAACAAAGCCCGTTTTTAAGTGTCGCCTTTGCATTCAGTCCCACGGGTTCGAACCCGGGACCTTTATCTTATCGGGTTGTCCGGAAAATAATGCAGGATTTTAAGTTTTCATTTAAAAAAATCTATATAAAATATTCTGTTTACGTTTACAGGATTACTCATTTGTATGAATGTCAACACTTATTAATCCTCTTCCAAATGATATTGTTTGTTTACCTCTGTAGCATTCCGCTACTTGGAAATAATTCAGTCATCCTTATAATGTCAAAGC